TTCTTTTGTATGATAGCAATTTTTTAACTTGGAAATAAATTTGGGAATAATCCAACGAATGTCACTGATGAAATAAAAACAATTGTTTGTACAGAAATTAAGGACCTACGCGCATCAGACTGTCTTTAAATTAAGTAGCAACAGAAGAATTATCGTTGAACTTTTAAAAGATAAGCTTAAATATACATGCAATACTTAAATGCAACGATCGGTTTTGAGTTATTCTGTAGTTTACTGTTAGCTATCTCGTCTATTCCTCCCTACCTATTGTGATAAAGGCCCAATCATAAACACTCCGTAGGAACTAGGTTAAGTGCCGCTCGATGAGGCGGCTTTTAAGCTAGCTTGCAAATAATTCTGCATTAATGGTTACAGGGGATTTTGGGCGGGAAGGGTTACTAGGTTTCCGTTGTTCGATACTTCGCGTCTAATAATTGATTCTTTCATCGCTGTCGTCATCTTTTCTCGGCCTTTTGCCGGAGATCAAAGTGTAGTAACTGAAGTATTGAACAGCAGAAACCCAGTACCCCCCTTAGAAAAAACAATACCCTGATGATGACATTATGCTAAAATTATGTCGAAAGTACTCTGAACAAATTAATATGTATCAACATGACTTCTTATATTCGCCCTTCAAGTTCGTTCAAGACTTGTTTCTTTAACCAATTCCAAAGAAAAAGTTATAGGGTGTTAAGTCAGGACTTCTGGCTGTCCATTTATACATAAAATAGGGAGTTATTTTATAATCACCCGTTTTAATCATGTGGAAAAGACATTGCTTGGTTTCAGTGATAAAATGAAAGAAAGAAAGGAAGAAGTGAGACACTGAAAGAAAGAAAGAAAGAAAGAAAGAAAGGAAGAAAGAAAGAAAGGAAGAAAGAAAGAAAAGAAGAAGTGAGAAAATGAAAGAAAGAAAGAAAGAAAGAAGCGAAGATAGATGTGGAGAGAGAGAATCAGATTAAGCTGCTGAGAACAGTTACTACACTTTGATCTCCGGCAAAAGGCCGAGAAAAGATAAAGACCGCGATGAAAGAACGCGAAGTATTTTAAAATGTGGGGTGTGCTTTTCAATCAGCCTGTATATTGAAGAAACGTTCTAACCCTTGTCCTTAACTGAAACCCTCCAGATATTAATGTTTAGAATACTGAACAAGAATACTGAGGAGAGTTCTGGAATACTGGAGAGACATGCTGTCACTTTATCCCTTACGATGACCCTCAGTTATCCGCGATCATAAAACTATTATCAGATTTGAATACCGAGGTGTGGTAGCTGATGTGCTGACAGATGTAGTTACACTAGACCATAAATCGAAAAATTGTTTTGCTTGCAGGTTGCATGTTATACTGTTATAATTTTTTCTATTTTTTTAATTTCTTGTACGAAATGAAACAAGATGCATAATTTATAATTTCCTGTTTATAATGTTACAGAAAACGGAAAGAGAGCGAATGAATTGTGGGTATAACACGTTAAATGTTTCGCATCTTCCCTGTCCACTCACTCTCATAGATCACCATCAACTGACATAGTGATTCCCCGCCTATACATTCCATGAGACGGGCACTGTGTTAAAATCCAGGAAACTGACTCGTTGCACCTTCTCGGGCTAACATTGTCAGCTGACACGAAGTCGAAAAACTATATTGAATTCATCGCTACGTCAGCCGCTATGAAAGCCGTTTCACAGTGTCGTGCGAGATAATTTTTCTCTCCAGAACCTAATTTTTTTTTTATTCCGTGACCCGTGGTGTCGTAGGGGCATCATGTGTTTACTGTAGCCGCAAAAAGTGGTGTTTCTTGAGCCAGACGGAGCCCAAACCTCTCCAGGCTAGTTTTGAATTAAGAGTTTTTTAGTATCTGTCTATATTTCTGAGATGAGGTATTATGTACACTATTTACATTATTCGGACTATTGTCCTGATCGTTGTCGCCATATTTATTACAACGTTTCGTCCCTTCAGTATCCGTCTATATTTCTGAGATGAGGTATTATGTACACTATTTACATTATTCGGACTATTGTCCTCATCTTTGTATATATTTATTACAACGTTTCGTCCCTTCAGTATCTGTCTATATTTCTGAGATGAGGTATTATGTACACTATTTACATTATTCGGACTATTGTCCTCATCTTTGTGGCCATATTTATTACAACGTTTCGGCCCTTCAGTATCTGTCTATATTTCTGAGATGAGGTATTATGTACACTATTTACATTATTCGGACTATTGTCCTGATCGTTGTCGCCATATTTATCACAACGTTTCGGCTCTTCAGTATCTGTCTATATTTCTGAGATGAGGTATTATGTACACTATTTACATTATTCGGACCTTGTCCTCATCTTTGTTGCCATATTTATTACAACGTTTCGGCCTTTCAGTATCTGTCTATATTTTTGAGATGAGGTATTATGTACACTATTTATTATTCGGACTATTGTCCTGATCTTTGTCGCCATATTTATTACAACGTTTCGTCCTTTCAGTATCGGTCTATATTTTGAGATGAGGTATTATGTACACTATTTACATTATTCGGACTATTGTCCTCATCTTTGTTGCCATATTTATTACAACGTTTCGGCCTTTCAGTATCTGTCTATATTTCTGAGATGAGGTATTATGTACACTATTTACATTATTCGGACTATTGTCCTCATCTTTGTCGCCATATTTATTACAACGTTTCGGCCCTTCAGTATCGGTCTATATTTCTGAGATGAGGTATTATGTACACTATTTACATTATTCGGACTATTGTCCTCATCTTTGTTGCCATATTTATTACAACGTTTCGGCCTTTCAGTATCTGTCTATATTTCTGAGATGAGGTATTATGTACACTATTTACATTATTCGGACTATTGTCCTCATCTTTTTTGTTGCCATATTTATTACAACGTTTCGGCCTTTCAGTATCTGTCTATATTTCTGAGATGAGGTATTATGTACACTATTTACATTATTCGGACTATTGTCCTCATCTTTGTTGCCATATTTATTACAACGTTTCGGCCTTTCAGTATCTGTCTATATTTCTGAGATGAGGTATTATGTACACTATTTACATTATTCGGACTATTGTCCTCATCTTTGTATGCCATATTTATTACAACGTTTCTGCTTTCAGTATCTGTCTATATTTCTGAGATGAGGTATTATGTACACTATTTACATTATTCGGACTATTGTCCTCATCTTTGTGGCCATATTTATTATTACGTTCGGCCTTTCAGTATCTGTCTATATTTCTGAGATGAGGTATTATGTACACTATTTACATTATTCGGACTATTGTCCTCATCTTTGTTGCCATATTTATTACAACGTTTCGGCCTTTCAGTATCTGTCTATATTTCTGAGATGAGGTATTATGTACACTATTTACATTATTCGGACTATTGTCCTCATCTTTGTTGCCATATTTATTACGTTGCGACCTTTCAGTATCTGTCTATATCTCTGAGATGAGGTATTATGTACACCAGTTATATTATTCGGACTATTTTCCTCATCTTTGTCGCCATATTTATTACAACGTTTCGGTATAGACAGATACTGAAGGATCGGGAAAAAAACTGGGACGTACAACGGCCGAAACGTTGTAATAAATATGGCGACAAAGATGAGGACATGTTTGTATTACTGTTTCTGTTAATATAAAGAAACAGAAAGAAAGAAAGAAAGAAAGAAAGAAAGAAAGAAAGAAAGAAGGATGGAACCGAAAACAATGAACAACGAAAGATAAACTATGGAAAAAGAAAGAAAGAAAGAACAACGAAATATAAATTGCTGAGCAAGAAGAAAGAAAGAAAGAAAGAAAGTAAGTTTGGTCTTCAAAATGAACCCACCAACTTTTTGCTCCTGCAGTTATCCTCATTGATTTCGGCGTGTCACATCCACCACTATCCTTGTCGCTTATTCACTTTTCTTGATTAGGTCTGTTCTGCTATCTACACTGACCTATTTATATCTCTTTGAGATAATCCTAGTATTGCTCTTTCCCTTCCTCTTTGTATACTATTATAAGTTTATTTTCAAGATGCTTCCGTTAAGGGCGTGACGATAAACTACATCTGGCAGCAATGCCTCTGATCGGGAGATTGTAAGGAGCGTGGAATCACCTCTTAATTAGTGTTGTTCCCAGGTCCACTGGAGTGGTAACACCGGTTAGGGTCCCAGCTATGGACATTTACACTTCTTTGAAATAGTCGTTAGACACCCGAGAAATAGAATTCATTCATTCTTTCTTTCTTTCTTTCTTTTTTTTTTTCCTTCTTTCTTTCTTTCTCCAAAACTGCCATTGATCAAATTGAAAACTCATTTCTCGTACGATCACCGGTTAAGCAACGTCGAGCCTGGTCAGTACCTAGATGGGTGACTGCTTAGGAATACCAAATGCTGTATGCTTATATGTGCGAGAGGTATAAAAGACTTACGGCCATATCAAAAAGAAATGTCAGTTCTTGGACGAGCACCGGTTAAGCAACATCGAGCCTGGTCAGTACCTAGATGGGTGACTGCTTAGGAATACCAAATGCTGTATGCTTATATGTGCGAGAGGTATAAAAGACTTACGGCCATATCAAAAGAAATGTCAGTTCTCGGACGATCACCGGTTAAGCAACATCGAGCCTGGTCAGTACCTAGATGGGTGACTGCTTAGGAATACCAAATGCTGTATGCTTATATGTGCGAGAGGTATAAAAGACTTACGGCCATATCAAAAAGAAATGTCAGTTCTCGGACGATCACCGGTTAAGCAACATCGAGCCTGGTCAGTACCTAGATGGGTGACTGCTTAGGAATACCAAATGCTGTATGCTTATATGTGCGAGAGGTATAAAGACTTACGGCCATATCAAAAAAAGAAATGTCAGTTCTCGGACGAGCACCGGTTAAGCAACATCGAGCCTGGTTAGTACCTAGATGGGTGACTGCTTAGGAATACCAAATGCTGTATGCTTATATGTGCGAGAGGTATAAAAGACTTACGGCCATATCAAAAAGAAATGTCAGTTCTCGGACGAGCACCGGTTAAGCAACATCGAGCCTGGTCAGTACCTAGATGGGTGACCGCTCGGGAATACCAGGTGCTGTATGCTTATATGTGTAAGAGGCATAAAGAACTTATGGCCATATCAAAAAGAAATGTCAGTTTCGGACGATCACCGGTTAAGCAACATCGAGCCTGGTCAGTACCTAAATGGGTGACCCCTTGGGAATACCAGGTGCTGTGTGCTTATATGTGCGAGAGGTATAAAAGACTTACGGCCATATAAAAAAGAAACGTCAGTTCTCGAACGATCACCGGTTAAGCAACGTCGAGCCTGGTCAGTACCTAGATGAGTGAATGCTTGGGAATACCAGGTGCTCTAAGCTTGCATGTGGGGGTGAAACAAAGGACTTACGACCATATCAAATTGAAACATCAGTTCTCGTACGATCACCGCTTAAGCAACGTCGAGCTTGGTCAGTACCTAGATGGGTGACCACTTGGGAATACCAGGTGCTGTATACTTATATATGCGAGAGGTATAAAGGACTTACGGCCATATCAAAAAGAAACGTCAGTTAAGCAAGATCGAGCCTGTCAGTATTTAGATGGGTGACCGCTTAGGAATACCCGGTGCTGTAAGCTTGCATGTGCGTGTGATACAAAGGACTTACGAACATATCAAATTGAAACATCAGTTCTTGGATGATCACAAGTTAAGCAACGTTGAGCTTGAACCTTAACCTGGTCAGTATCAACCTTGGTCAACCTATATATATATATATATATATATATATATATATATATATATATATATATATATATGCACGTGTGCGTGTGTGTCTGTCTGTGTGTGTGTTCGTGCGTGCGTGCACGCGTATATATATATATATATATATATATATATATATATATATATATATATATATGCATGTATGTATGTATGTATAAATAAAAAAGAAAAGAACAGTAAGATATATAATCCGGTGTCCTTATAGATATTTTTTATTTTTACAAAATAGTGCTCAATGTAAATTTACAGAGAATTAATATTATAAATTAATTGATTTAAAATATGATTTTTTCGATACACAGTTCTAACCATGTCTCAAAAATGGAAGCTAAAAGCTTCGAATTTAATTTTGTAATTAAATTAAAGACTTTAATTCCATTTCATCCTCAATCGAATTTGGAGTATATATATATATATATATATATATATATATATATATCAGTTAAAGTTTTCTTTTGTTTTCTATGGTTTTCAAGTATTTAAAGTATGACAATTATTATAAAAAATTAGCTTAAAAATAGACCCTATCGGGCGGCATTTAAACTAGCTCCAGCGAAGGGCTCTTGATTGAATGTTCGGCTTGTTCAGGAGTTTAATAGTCCCTAAGTATTTGCATATTCTCTCTATTGGAAGGTATCATGACTGACGTTTGATCTGGGTTTTCTTTTACACGGGACTTTCTTCTCCTCACTGCAGCCTTGGCACTTTTGATTGCAATTTGGTTCTCTGTTGTCGGAGATTTCTTTTAGCGAGGCATACAGCTGCAGTATGCGATAGGCAATAATAAACTTTAGAATAACTC